CCAATTGCACCGTTGTTTGGGCACATGCGCCTGTTCGCAAACCGAACTTAACAGGATTGAGCACCCGGAGCACGTGCAAGGGTACATGGTGGTAGACCCTCGGCGCATTTAGTTTGAAAGCCCAACCATGGATGAAGGCTCGCTCCCAAATAACTGCATCCCTCCGATCCCCTTCCACTTGCACAACAGGCAACATGAAGTACATGGAAGCAGGATGCACGCCTGAAGGAGCTAGGTTTCTGATCACGTGGTAGGCAGGTATCTGGCCAGCAGCACTTGGGTTGTCAATGCGATGGAAATGGTCCGTGTGGCGCCTACGGAAGTTAACGGTCCTTCCAGCATACACTTTGTCAGTGAAAGGGCTCCATAGGATGTAAAGCACATTTTCAGACTGCAGTAGATGAGACAAGTCCGGCCACGCGCTGCTCCGAAATTTCTGCAAATATGCCACAAGCGAAGTATCATGGTCAAAAGTTGATAAAGAAAGGAACTCCACGGCCACTGGCACTGCCAACATGCGGATTGCAAACAGTGTCTCAAAATCGCGGCCTGCGCTTTCCACCGCAGTGGCACTACCCACTATCCCCAAAACTGCACACAGCATAGCAAGCATTGCCCTCAAAACTGCCCGCCACTTGAAACGATGCTTGGCAGGCAAGGCATGCGCCTTCCGCAAATGTGCTTGAGTGTTGTTGTGTGACGTTGCATCAGATAGTCACGAACCCTGACAATACTTCACTGCAAGTGCCCTTGCCACCCACCTTTTCAACTCTGGTACCTGCGGCTTACTGCAACGGATACCCAAGCCTTCTGTAGCCAATTTGAATTGCACATAGATCTCGTCAGACATGCTTTTGCTCACCCCAATTCGCTCCAAAGCCACCTCAAATTGTGCCATCGCCGACTTCAAAGGAGAATTCACATCAAATGGCACCTGTTTTCCAGCTTGGGCAACTGTTACAAGTGTTGTGGCCTGTGGGAACAGGGTCTTGAATGATGGCGCGTCCTTGCTGAAATCAGTAAAGTTGTAGGAGGAGATTCTAAAAGGTTCTCGCTCTGCTGGCTCTCCCTGTTGCTGAGTCTGCGGTGTCGTAGCTTCAGGGCTTGACTGAACCATCTGGTTGCAGGATGGATTTGGTGAGGTCGGCTCCAACTTCTTACGCTTGAACTCTTCCGGGAGGTTTGTCTTGAACCACTTCATGAAGCCCTGTAGCTCACTTTTTGGGACATTGAGGTTTACCAGCCGCACACATTCGAAATAAACATCTCGTTCATTGGATGTTGCTGGTATGGGCTTCACACCCTCTCGCTGCCAATATTGAACTGCATTGGGGGCTTGTAAGCTAATGATGCGGGCCACCATTACCTTGTTAAGGGCGATCCACTTTGCCACCCGTTCTTGAGAATTGGCCGGCATGCGGGCTATCTCTTCTGGGTTTAAACCTGGCGGCGGGCGCAAGATGGAAGTCATAAGCTCGGGGAGCCCGCTAACTCCCCTTGCCAAACCCTCTGCCTGGACGAGTCCTTCTGACAATGCATGCTGCATCATGTGGCTGAGTAGCTCAGTGGTGATCTCACGAGAAGGCATGGTCTTTGCTAGAGAAGACATTAAGGCTTCACCCAAAACCTGCGCATGATTGCAGTCCAGCGCTGCAGGAGACACAACTGTGTTCACCAACTCGGAGACTAAACCATCAACATCACTGGATCTGCCTTCCTCCTCCTCCATTGAGCGGGCTTTGAGGGCTTTCTCTACCGCTTCAGCTTTCACCTCTGACATAACCGCTTTGGGCACTACTTCCATTATACCAATGAGCTCAGCAAAGTCGTCAGAGGACAGCTTGCCTATTTGGCTACATAGGTTCATGAGGTGCGCTGAAACCTGGTTACCCAATCGAGGGCACTTATTCCCCTGAACTCCGGCATCCTCCTGCTCAAGCGGTCGTTTGCACAGTGCACCTCCCATGCACTGCTTTGCCACTGGAGGTTGCTCCACCTGTGTTGGGGGCACACTTGCCATACCTGGGGCTCATGCGTGGCAAGCTTGCAGCTTGCGAACTCATTTGGGAACCTCCCCAGTTCATACCTTGGTGTACCATACCTGGGAACACTGGCCATCCTGTGCTGCTTGGTGGGTTCATCATGTGTGGGAACATGTGGGGCATCAGTCCAAATGACTGGCTGCTTTGGCACCACTGGTGTGGGTTCATGGCTCTGACTACTCTACACAGACCTTGCTGTTAACTGTACACGAGCAGTTCTCACACCAAAATTACTGTTTCGGGCCCAATTAAAGCAGACGTTCATACATGGTTTAGCTCAACGTGGTTCAAAGGAATTGTGTCAAGTCACAGGTCACATCCGCAAAAGCACACAGCGAAATGGGCTCTGCCGTCTATTTTGCATCTGTGAAATTTGTTGCCGACATTTGGCGCGTTTTGTGCCAGGTGGCGAATGTTTGCCCGTTTTGGCATGAAACAATCGCCCTCCAGGGACGTTGTTTCAGACACGGCAGCAGTGCCAGCACTGGAACACGTGCCCACCACATCCAATAATCAGACTTAGGAGGAAAAAATTGTGTTGCCGGTGGCGGAGATCAGCATGTTGCCAGTGGCGATTTTGCAGGTACGTTTCCAGCCCCTCACTAGACCCTCTTCGTTGGGTGCTCAGCCTAGTGAGAGGGAGCACCCCCCTGC